GCGGCAGGTGCGCTGCCTGCCGAGCACCGCTCCGCGGCGATCCCGCCCGCGCCTGGCGGAGAAGGCGGCCGCAGGTGCCCGTCCGGCCGAGCCCCGGCCGAGCCCAGCCCGGCCCAGCGGTAAGTGACCCGCTGGCGTGAGCCGTGACCTCCGCGGCCCGAACGCCGCCCCGCTGCCCGTGCCCATCCTCCTGAGGCGGGCTCGTCAGGCGGTGGTCTGGCGTAGCAGGATAGGTCCGTTTTGAAGAAACTTGATAAATAGGTTTTCATTCCAACAGGTTACAGTGAAGAGATGAAAAGCGATTTAAATTTCATTTCAGAGCTACATGAAAGCAATATCCCTTTAATGAGTTTTTTTTAACTGATAATTATTCTCGGTAATTAAGATATGAAATATTCACTAGGACCTACCTTGCATTCTAGGGGCAGAAGGAAGAAGGGAAAGAATAGGATGCTATCAGATGACCTCTTTTGTGGTGGCTCATTTCCTTCTACGGTGAAAATAGTAAACTTCCTAAAGCTAAAAGCAAGGGGAAAAGTAGTTTGAACTATTTCAGTGCGTATTTATAACCTCTCTCTTAGAGGACCAGACCTTCTCTAACCCAGTGTTGTCGTAGCTATGCATCTCTAATATGAATGTGAGACTTCACATGACCCCATAGTCAGAGGTCTGAGTGACTTTGACATTGTGGGGTGCCCTGCTTCACCTCTCTGCTGCAAGAAAATGTTACTAATGAGATCAAGGCAGCCAAACAGAAAGATTAGTCAGTATTTCTGTTTCAATTTGGGAAGAGCAGGGACTAGAGGTAAAATTCTCCTCTGTCATGATAAGTAGTCTATGAACATATCATCTTTGTCATAAGCTTTTAGTCATTGTCGAATTCACTCTCATTTGCCAGGAAAGTTATCTTAAGTCTTGAAATAGTCACCTTAACACAAGATCTGACAGCTGTTGGAGAACAGCAATCCTTGCTAATGCCACACCTGTGCAAGATAACCCAGAGAGAGTGCTAGACGTGACTCCAGGGTGGCTGGGCTGTATCAGCATGTGTGCAGGTGCAAACTGTGGGGGAATTAAGGCTCTTTGTAGCTCAGTCCTTTCTTTTAAAGGAGTGAGAACGTACTGTCTCTTTCTCCCATTCCCTTTGATGTGGGTTTTGGAAGAATTTGGAGACAGCAGCTCTCAACTAAAAAAGGAATCTTGCTTAAGGAACCTTGATGGCCACCTTTGAGTAGACCATATATATATATATACGTGTCTATATACACTTTGTGTTGTTTCTGGTCCTGTGAATGACCCCACTCAAGGGACAATCTCATTTGTTGCCTTTCAAAGCTTGGCTGGAAGCCATGGCATAAGGTAACTCAGTGTTGTCAGATTTTAGTGGTTCTTCATGTGCCTCGCAGCAGAGAATGGGGGTCTGCCAGGTGCTTACAGAAGCCAGGTGGCAACTTCAGCTCTTACCCTTTATAATCAGATGCAGTTAAATACTTAAATGTCTTGGAGTTTTAGGATGGATTCATGTGCTTGTTTTTACTTGTTGGAAGTTTAGGCCAGGCTATTCTTTATAAGTTAAAGAAGTTAGTAATGTGATAGGAAAAGAAATACCAAGATTAGGGCCAGATGACCTTCAAGCTAATTCAACAGGGTGTGGAATTGTGGTTAGAGTTGTTATTTGTGGCCACAATGTAAGGTATCGATTGGATTCTGAATTATTTTGGCTATCTTGTTTGTGCCTTTTAACAATAATAGAATTTCCTATCAGCCTGTGGTCAGTATGAGTGGAAATAAGAAGTGAAGGCAACAATGAGGTTTTGAAGCCTCTGACTCACTAGCTGCTACCCTTTTAGGCTTCAGTGCACAGCAGAGCATGTTCCTCAGAGACAAATCACCTTTTTCTTCTTTTGTAGCTGTTTCAATTTGACAAGAGTTCTTCTGAGACGGTGTTTATGTGTGAAACGGCTGTAGTTCAGGAAGGGAGAGGAAATTTCTTGTTAATTTCTAAAGGCAGTGGACTCTGTGGTCATTGACACATTTCTCATGTGTGAGTTACGTGGCTTTGTGGATGCCATGAAGGGTACTGGTTTCTCCTGGGGTAGACTGTTAGTTTTGATAGCATGCAGCTGTGGTCCTTGGGTAAAAAAAGTTTCAGTAAGTGGCATAGATATTATAGATACCTTTGTTTCTCTGCTCTTCATTGAGAGAGAGACTTCCAGCCAGTTGTGTTCAGTGCAGGGCTGAGAGATGGAGCCTAGAGCAACATCCCTGGGCAACATCCTAAAGAGGGTCTCCTCTCCATCTAGTGAAGATGTGTTTCTCTCCATCGAGGGTATGACTGGAAGTCCAGGTTAATAATTTAAGAGCTCAGAGTTGAGTAGTGCATGTACATCCTGCCCTTCATCCATTTGCAGGCATGTCTAAGTTCATTTCAGGCTACTGCCTGCCCTGAACTTTGCTGTAGGGTTGTGTGCTTAAAGGAGTGAGGGCACGGGAAGAATATGGGGCCTGTGAAGTCATGAAAGAGTAATTTTCATATGGCTGAAAGACTTTTCCTTCCCTTTTTCCTATTCTTCCTTACAATTTGTGGACTGTTTTTATCTTTCATTTGTTTACTAATGGTAATGGCCATTGGCATTTACATTGGAAAGAAGGGAACACCCACATTTCATATGACACTGAGCAAAAGCATTTTGGGGTTTGGATTTTAATAATGTCGGTTAAAGAAGTGTCTATGCATAGTTCTTTATAAGATATTGAGAATATTTATTTTTAAAATATTTTTCTTCATTTTAGCTGCTTTGAGATGGCTTTTATTTATTCTTCATCTATGACTGTGCTAGTGTTGGACTTCTGGTTTTTTTTCTAGAAAATGTAGAAGAGGGCTATTCTGTTTATTTGGAGAAAAGCAGTATGTTCCTGACTAATAGGCTGAAATAAAGCAGTAAATAACATTGCCAAAAATTTACATAAAAGTGTGAGGCATGGTATGGTGAGTGATTATTGAATAGCCAGGCCAGAAGGAAGGTTTTCCTTGAGTCTGCTGGGTAAAGACTTGCTTTAAAAAAAAAAACAAACAAAAAACCGTATTTTAAAACAGCATAATGAGGAATTTTTCACATTCAATGTAAATTACTTTCTCTTGTTAATCTTAACAGTTGTCTATAGGAATATAGTGTTTTATGACAATTAATTTGGAGTTTAGGGCTTTTGTTTTTCCTTAGAACAATGTCTTCTCAATTTACGATATTTTCACTGTGTGCATTTTCTGTTAAAACAGAGGAGAATGACACTTTGTTTTCTCTGTATTGTTTTCTTATTGTGCATTTTGGATGTATGCTCTCTTACTTCTTTCTGTTTATTTTGGCCTCTGGTTGCCATGTAATGGGGGATCAAGCTTGAAATGGCTTCAAGAGACCATTTCTTCATGTGAAGACTCTCCAGGGCTGCCAGGAATAACCAACAATTAATGCAAGAACTCTTCTAATACTTGTTGGGAGTTGAGTCACACTGATGCTTGTAGCATGAATTTGTAGCACAGGAAAAACAAACATTGTGTGCTTGGCACCAGACAGCTTCAGATTGGAAGAACCATAAGGGAGATGTAAGTGGGTGAAACCCAGGAGGAGGTAGTAAATAAAACAAGACTGGATGGTAATCAGTGTTTGGTATGAGAGAATTAATCTGAGGAGGTGTTGAAGCAGAGGAAAACAAAAACAAAGTCAAAAGTATGCTTGAGACCATATGTGAAGGTTGATGGTTATTTGGTTTGAAATGTATTAGGAAAGCAAGCAGAGATGAACCTGTGGTTTCAGCTGAAAATAAAGTACCTAGCATGTGGCTGAGGGAGGGCAGAGTAATGAACCTCTCATTTTATTGAGCTGCATGAGTTGGATAAACAACTTGTAAATAAATTTGAAACAAGTATTACCCCATTTTAAGGAACAGTAGCTTTTAAAAGTGAAACTTATGATGTTCTTTGTGTTCCTTGATTGCTTGGCTGAAGATGAATGGCTGGATTTTACTCTGAGATCATAAAGCTGCATTATGTGTTATCCTGAAATTAAGGGAAAGGCATAACCAACAGGTACAAAGCGTAGGAGTTTCATAGTCTGGGAATAACTGTGATAATGGAAAGACTCAGGAAAATGCTTTAACTTCTAGACAGCATTTTACTGTTTGCTTACAGAGAATAAGTATAGTCTCACTGCTACAACACTGGAAACTGTGAAAACCACCAAGGCTGAGGTAGAAAACCTGTGATTAATTTTATTATCTTAATAATCATGTGGTGATTCACAGAAAGTGCCAGGGATTTTTTCCATTTCAAATGGATTGCTATTTTACTTGCATACATTCTAAGTAAAAAAGCTGAAATTATTTGTAACAGAGCTCAGCTGAACTAGATGGATCTATACCAGCAGAGGATTTGTTCCAGTTTCCTCTTCTGTATTCATTAGAACAATTGGGAAACTGTTATTTTCATGATGTAATGCACTGGTTGTTTTAAGAGCTAATTCCCAAACAACGTGCTAATTGGCCTGAAATAGTGCAGTGCATGTGGTGCCCGCTTGGGATTTGAAGTTAAGGACGATCCTATTTGTTAGTGGCTTCAGAAATTAAACCTCTCGTGAGTGTTCTAACTGTGCTTTTGTAAGGACTGAGTGAATAAGTGCATGATAGTTTGAAACACAGTGTTCAGAGCTATTGTTCTATATTACATGATTGCTGGGCAAATTAGACTTGCAGTGGAAATTTTCTTGCAGGCTACTGTGCTGAAGTTTTCAGCTCACCAGAGCAGGGTTGCAAATATATGATAGAAGGTATGACATATACACTGGTTTAATTTTGCAGTAAACTAGAAACCATTTAGCAACTTCTGATGGAAAAGCAAGACAGATATTTAGAAAGAGGAGTGCAACATATAAACAGAGGCTTGAAACTTATGAACTGAATTGCATTTAATGTAATCTTTCTGTATGTTCTATTGCCAAGGTGCTATGCTTTTATATTGACACTGCTTTACAACATTGCTGAGTGGTGGAAGAGGAGTTGGAAAGACTTTTGACTTTTTACAGCTTTGTAAATGATGGTGAGCACTTCAGCAGTTTGGAATTTAGATTGACAATTTTAACTGGATGTGCCTGAGCAGCTCATCAGGGACACAAAATTGATTAAGATCTTGCTACCTCCCCACCTGCCCTCCCTCATTTAGGCTTCTGCATCAACTTGATTAGCTGAACAACTCTGTTCTTAATTTTTCAGATTTGCTCAGGATGTCTCCAGAGTAGGGAAGATGATATTGTGCTGGATTTCATTTGATCCGTGTCGGTGGTTTCATGACTGTGAGAACAGGGAATGTGTTTTGTTTTCAAATTAAAGGTTATGTTTTTGTGTGGTGAGATCCCAGACTCAAGGAGAAATTTCTGCAGTGATTTCTACAGTGAGCTAAAACCTACTGAGTGGTTGTGGGCCAAGATCAATGGTTGCATTCCTGCTGCTGAGACTCTCCTGCCTTGGGACTCATCTCTGGGCTGAGTCTACCACGAGAGACATTGAAGGTATAAAACTGGTGAGTAAGTAGATGCTTTACTGATGAATAATGATTCAATTACATAACTTAACTATAATACCTGCTAGTGGGAGTGAAGTGCAGAGTAAAAGAGGCATCATAGGCTGGTATATGTGAAATGTGAATTAATTCAAACAATGTAGAGAACATTGGAGATTTCTGCAGTATTTTTGTGAGTGTTATATGTGCCTCATTTTAATTGCTTGATGTTATTCTGCCAAGCTGCATGAAATTAAATAAAAGGAAACTTACAATGGAACAAACAGGAAATGAAATAATAAGTGGAGTAAGATGTCTCTGGAGAGAATGGCAAGGGATTTGCAGTAATATTTGAGAAGTTATTAGATGTGAGAGTCCCACCTGTGTGCTCCAGCAGCCTTGTTTTTCTTACACCCATATAAAATTGTATAAACTACATCATGGAGAGAAGTGAAGGTGGGAAAGCCTGCATGCATGAGAAACGGAGGCTGGATGCAGAGGCATTTGGAGGGGGATACAGAAGGAATATTATGTTATATTTCTTCCCCTCTCTGTACCCCTCACTGCAGCAAGTTTGGATTGGATGGGACATAACCACAACTGAAGAAACAATAATTTGTGAATATTTGAGTCAATGAAGTGTGGTCTCCTGCAGTGTTTTCTCTGCCTATTCAGTGAGGTTGATGCCCATCATCCACCACTCCCCAGCTTCCCTTATACTTCAGTATATCTCATTTTCTTCTTGCTGCTCACCATTACTTGCAGCCCCCTTGTGCATACCTGAAATCATGGAGCAGAACTCCAGCTCTGCCTCCTTGAATTCTGTGGACCCTGTGCTGTAGATGGTTGAACTTGTGCTAGGCTCAGAATTTAGTAGAGGAGCACTCAGACAGCATGGTCAGTTTTTCAGCCAGTTTGGAAGAGTGGCTAGTTTTGGCTAGCTTGGTATATTGTGGGCAAGATCTTCTTGCTGTGCAGTCACCAGCAGCAATAAAAAAATTCTGGTTCCATCTTTTGTGCTGTGTGGGTACTGCTGTCATTTTTAAGCTCTTTCCTCTAGTACTACTTCACCTCTAGCCAGCTATCAAAAATGGAAGCAGTTGCATAGGCTATTCATCATTACATTTACTGTTACACTGCCTAACCCTGGTCAAATGGGAGAAATTTGTCCCTTCATAAGTGGAATTTTAGTGTAATATGCATTGGCCAGCCTGGTCCTTCTTTAGTGTGTGGGCTTTGCAGTGCTGCAGGTTGGTCAAAGCAGTGTGCTCAGCATGCTGTTGTGATTTCAAGTATATAGAAAGAGTCAGTCTGCTGGTTACCAAGCTGGCATATACTATCATTTTTTTGAACACAGTGCCTTCTTTTTTTTTTCCCCTTTCCCCCCCCGCCACCACTTAATACAATGGAGTTAGCATTTTTGCTGACTGTGGCTCCCACTAGAGCTGATGTTTCTGTTCTCTAAGTCTCATTTGTGGTTTCCATAAAATTGAAAGTAGTTCTTGGTGCTGATTATGTTTTTTTCTGGCCTAAAATTTCATCCCAATTTCATCTGTACCAGATAACCCTTCTTGGGTTTATTGAAGGTTTTCAAAAATTAAAAAGAAAGCATTCTCTGTGAAGTTTTCTTAATTTGAAATAGTCTGTGATGTTTCTGCTAGAGTAAACACCTTTTGCTCTACATGTAGTGAGTTTTTTGATATGGGACTCAGGGCATCAAAATCATTTGGCTTATTGAACTGTAAGATGGGAATACCCTTTTTCTGTCAGGCCTGTGAGCACCCTCCTGGTAAGCTGTAGTAAACTCTTAAATATTAGTATTGAAATTTTTCATGCCATCTGCCTTTTTATTTGATGCCACATCAAAATGTTTAGGGTTATTTTTAAAAATGAATGCATGGGGGAAAATGTATTGTTTTGTCACTTGCAAAAGCCCCTTCTGTCATGTATTGCAGGGTAGGTTTGGCAGAAAGTCGGCATTTTTAGAGGAAAATGCTCTGCTGCTTTTATTTAATTCTTGCCAAGTTTAGAAGTCTCTGAAGAATATGTGTCAGTAATAAAATTCTGGAAGCTTACCTGTCATCTCTGTGCAATTAAGGAGCGGATGCCCTGTCCTCGCTGAGCAAGCAAGAATGTTGGAGCCCAGGGTTACAGTGTGTTTGAACAGACCTCCCTAAGCAGCTCCTTGTTGCTGCAGGCTCAGCTTAAACCACATCCTGAAATGAAAAAGAGCTTCTGTTTCCAAAGTACCTGGTGACCAGCAGGTTATTTAAATGCAGATGAAACACATGCCAGGCTGTGTCAGGAGGTGGAAAGAGGGAAGGAATGAAGGAAGCAGGAGGAATTTGGACATGGGTCCTGGTGACTCAGGGGTGGGAAAGGAAATTACCTAGGAAGATAGGAGTTCTACTGGAAGATGCTGTGGTTGCTCAGAGATGTCTCTGAACCTCTTTTTTAGGTCCTCAAGCCTGGGAAACCTCCTTCCCTGGTTTCTACAAAGAGCTACATGAGCATGAGGAAGGATCCCTGTGAGAGCCTCAAGTCTGTGTTATGGAGCAGAGGCTGGGCTCCAGGTTTTGTGCATTGCTTTCTGCTGGTCTGTAAAACACAAACCCTGCCACCACACTTGCACTTGGAGCTCTGTCACACAGAGATTAGTGTCTGTTGGCATTGAGATTGAGACAATGTTTGTACTTTTTGTCTTGTAAAATGTTTATGTGTACCTTGTTTGAGCTTTGATTTTATATATATTTACTCCATCCTTGCATTGTTTTGGGAGAACAAGTTGTTATTAGTAGATGTACATCTGAGACATGATTTAAATGGGATGAAAGTTATTCAAAATAGGAATTGTCTTGAGGTTTTTTTTCTTATGTCTTCAAATATTAATTCTTTGATTAATATTTTATGTGATTGAGTTTGTAGTATGAATTTTACCAGCTCCATACAGGAGGCAGCAAATACAAATTGTGTGATCTAACAGCTTTAAATTCCCCCTACACTTCTGTGTTAGACATCAGTTTCACAGACTGTCCTCATGGATCCTGCCCACCTGTTAAGCCTCACTGCTTCATCCATGGCTGTATCATTTCTAACCAAAGCCTTGAGGCTTTACTGGGGCTCCTGTCAGGAACCATATGTATACTTAATAAGTCACAGTCACAGTCCTGGAGGGCTTGCCACCTGAATGGAGAAAGACACAGCAGGTAAGCAACACACTTAAGCAGAGAAAAAAGAGGAGGCAAGAGTGGGATGGTTTGGTCAGATGTGGCTTGGTTTGGTGTGGAAGTTGGTGGGCAGTGCTGACTCATCACCAGGTTCAGTCTCTGCTGACACTGTCAGGTGCAACATATAGTCCTCTGCCAGTGAAGCTTCTCCTCAGAATCATCTTGGCTTCATTCCATGTCAGTCAAATGATTCCCTATGGTTCCTTTTACTGAAAAGCTGCTGTAGAACCAAACCCTTTAGCAGACAAATCCTTGTCATTTTCAGTTTCAAGTAATTAAAGTAATTTGTTCCAGTATTAACAAACAGCCACACATTCCTTGTTGTCCTCTGGTTTGAAGTACAGTTTTGTGTTTTTCATTTTGGCTTAGACCAATCACAGTGCTTCTTGCATGAAAAGGCATGGCTTGTACCTTATGAGCATGCTTACAGTGGAGTTGTTGCTGCAAGTGTGCCTCTGTAGACACACCTGACATACCTTTGAGCTTCCTCATTGACACACTCTTAGCAACACAGTTCCCACAGTTTAAAGGTCATTATCAGGTGACCAGATTAATTTTGAGTATTCTAGTTTTTGGGATTTTTTAATAGAACCTAGATTTCTGGAGATTGAAGACCTAAGTCTGCTGCAGAAAACTTGTGGTCTTTAGAATTTTCAGATTCTTCTTTAGAATTCTTTAGATTCACCTCTGGCTAATGTCAGGGCCCCTCTTCAAAACAGTTCTGAAAGCAACATCAGTGCTCTTGGCTGCACTTTCCTGGTCTCAGGATGGAACCACAGTGATAGTTTGGAATCATCCTGCACTCACAGTTCTTACAGGCATTGCATCTTGCACTGCTAAACCATGTTTTGTGTTCATTGACATGCCTTTCTTTGCTCCTGATGTTCAACTCTATCCTGAAAGACTACTTTGAAGGACTTCCTTAATAATGAGCTTTTTGCCTGGTAATTTCCCTTTGCTCTTGTTTATCTTTTAAATAGTTTATCTGATTTATACATCTTATACTTTTGCTGACTTCTCCCACTTTTTCCAGTTTAGCCTGTGGAGTACTTTGCCAAATGATTTATTAAAATCCAAACAAATTGCATTCACATTTTTTGTTGGAATAAAATAGAAAAGAGACATTTTGGGCTAGTATGCTATGATCAGTCTTCTGTAATGTATTTAATCTGCTTTTTCCCCCCATTATTTTGTCAAGATCTGTGTGCTATCTGTAGATGACTGATGTGTCTGTGCTACCAAAATGACTTTTTTCTCTCTTTCCTTCCAAGTATAGATACCATATTTGGCTTTCTTCAGTCATGTGGTACTCCCTCATTTGATGGATTTATTTAATATCTGTGCTATCAGACTTAAAATTTCATGTACCAGTTCATTTGGTGTTCTGTGATTAAGATGGTTCTGCCACCCAGACTTGACAGCAATAAGCTCTTTGGATTTTGCTTCTATCTCAGTAATTTCTATCCCTGAGAACTCATTCTTATTAGCTGTCATGTGTCTGCTCCACTGTTCAGCATCTGTTTAGGTTTTTTTGAAAGTGAATTGAGATAGTAATTTCTTTTGGGAGGTATGTGTACTTTTAACATGAAGTCTGCCCTACTCCAGTGAAAAACTTAATGATTCTTTCATGTGCTTACTGTGGTAATTTCTTTGCTGTTGTGTGTTTTTATTTTATTGGCAATTTTTTTGTTTGTTTCTTTTCGTATTTAAAATGTTTCTGAAGGACTGTCTCATTCTCTGTATTCTCTTAGCAGTCTGGTTCATCTTCAGCAATACTGCTGCTATCTGTTATCTGTCTCATGTGCTTGTGGGTTTTGGGACAGCAGAACACATTCAGCAGTTACAGTTTTCATTGTGTAAGACTCTTTTTACTGTTTCTCCTTGAAGTTATCTTGTGCTGGACCCTTCTCTTACCAGATTTTCTGCCCTTGGGGTAAAAGCTGTTATAATAAATCTGTCACTGCTTCCTTCAGGAAATTCAGCATTGCTGCACATGTCTTGAAGGGTCTCTGCTTTTTTAGTGACTTTGTGGAAGTAAAGAAAAGGATTGTGGGAGAGCAGAAGGATGATGTAAGTTGTCTTTCAAACAATAAAAGAGAAGACAATAAAAGCATATATGTCTGTAAAAAGTACTACAGACTGTAGGTAGAACATACAATTAATCTGAAGCTAGATACATTTTAGTATTGGGCCTTTTGTCCCCTACTGAGGAAGAGGCTCAATATTTCTGAAGTATTCCAGAGTAATTCCATTGCCAGCGACACAGATCATAAAACAAACCCCAGAGTTTTACAGTGGTTTTCTTGGGGAGAATTTAAATTGATCTATCTTTCTGGTTTCTTTTAGAGGTCTAGCAATTAGGAGCTTTGCAGACTTTCAATGTCAGCTTTTTCTTTCTGAAGATAGTTCACATAACAAAGAGTGACCCAGTCTTGGAGTGTGTGCAGAAGCAGCATGGATTTTCAAAAATTTTAGCCAGCTCTAATTGCTCCATGCCAAGGATGTAACTATACAGTGAGTTTTTGAATTCATCTAAACTGCACCAATTAAATTCTGTGTGGACAATTCATGGACTCTTTGTTATCTTCTGAAAAAAATCAAAACTGCAAAGCAGCAGGGATGTATTTTTTGTTTTCTTCTAGTGCTTCTGTGGGGCACAGGTATTAAATAAGAGCACCTTGCTTAAAAGGGCACAGATGAAATTGTACATGGTGTGCTGCCATTGCTAGCTTTACTCAAAGATCTGTGTCTGCTGCCGTGTGTGATGCACTTGCTGTGAACCCTCCACCTGACAAACTGTAGCACTCTGGAAGCTGAAGCAGTTTGTGACCTGAGGAGATAGTGCTGAGGGGTGAAGGAAAGTGTCCACATCTTTTGTCCTGGTGCAGGGATACAATGGGGTTCCAGCTGCCAGTGTGTGATAAGACAACAAAAGAGTGTAAGTAGAGCTGGCCTTGTGATGAGCCTGCTCAGGTCTGGCAGGGTTTGGTAGCACCAGTACCATGGGATTCAGGCTGAACTAAGCCCTTCTGGAGTCATCTCAGTACTGCTGCTTCTGGGCATTGCCTGACCATGTGGGTCTGATAGGGCCATGCTGGCTCCACAAAGAGCTGCTTGGCTTTTGAGGGTGTCCATTAGGTTGGAGCACTAGACTTGAATCCAGATTTTCATGCTATGCTAATGCCAAGTTAGCCAGTGTTCCTAGAACTGGAAGGCTAAAATGCAGATCCACTGGTGTCTTTGCAGGCATCAGAACCAACCTGTTAGGACTAAATGAGGGCAGGAGACCCTGTGAACCTGAGCTGACTCTGTGTGCCTTGTGATTTTGCTCAGAAAGCCACAGCTTTTTACCATAAAGGTTTGGTACCCTTGTACTGTAATCTCAGGTTTAAAAAAAATTAATTCCCAAAGTAACCAGCTGGGGAAAGCAGCATTCCCAGGGCAAACTGCAGACATTATAATACATAGGTAGGTTGGATTAGCTGGAACTACATGTGCAGCAGGTGCCTGTTTCACCTTGCCAAGGCTGGTGTATGTATTTGTGTGATGGCATTTTTTTAAGATGACATTCAGTTTGTTCTGGCAGGTAGGGGGGAGCCTATATCCAGAGCTTTAAGCTACATGTTTTTTAGCTATCTGTTTACTAAGTATTTGGGAAAGGAATAAATGTTTTATTATGTGTGTCTGTGCCATGATGATATTATAAAAAAATTCTAGGTAGGCTTCAAACATTCTGCTGCTTGCTTACTGGGAGCCAGCAGGACTAAATAAGATTTTGCCTGTTTTTTCACTATAGATGCAATCCTAGATGTCTTTCTATATTGAGAATCATCACAGAAAGCAAATTTAACTAGCCCCCTGCTACTGCAGGTCCTCCATGCCCATTTGACAGTGTTCTTGATTCCTGACTCTTTTGTTCCTCAACAGGTTTGTGTCTTCTATTGTTCTGCTCTACAAATGGAGATTTTTTTAGGGTGTTGGAAGGTCTTAAGTCTGTGCTGAATCTGAGCATAAAGAATAGATGATTGTGAATGCAGAAAAAATGCACTTACTTGTTTTCCAGTTACTTGTTTTCCATTTGAGTATCAAAACGCAGTTTCAGCATGTATGCACACTGGAGTCCTACCATACCCCTTCAGGCATGAATTGACATCCTTACTTAATTTTTTTTTTGTTTTGTTTTTTTGGGTTTTTTTTGGGGTTTTTTTTGTTTTGTTTTTAATGTCAGTCCAGCTGACTCAGTTTCAAGTCAACTAAATTTTAGCCACTCTTCTCAGCCAAAACTATAACATCAATTAGCTGCCCCTCTGGATGATTAGGTCAGACATGTTAGGGAAACATGATGAGAAATTCCTTACTTAATTTTTTTTTTGTTTTGTTTTTTTGGGTTTTTTTTGGGGTTTTTTTTGTTTTGTTTTTAATGTCAGTCCAGCTGACTCAGTTTCAAGTCAACTAAATTTTAGCCACTCTTCTCAGCCAAAACTATA